ATATATATATATATATATATATATATATATATATATATATATATATATATACTCTATATATACTCTATATATATATATATATATACTCTATATATATATATATATATATATATATATATATATATATATATATATATATATGTATATATATATATATATATATATATATATATATATATATATATATATATATATATATATATATATATATATATATATATATATATATATATATATATATATATATATATTAGGGCAATTCCATTTTTACAAAATCTAAGAATAACAGTGTAACTATTTTTTTTAAATGGTTAATTGATTAGGTCATGGTATTTTAAATGTTTTTTTTTTTTTTTTTTTTAATAAAAAAAATATATTACAAGGTTAACCAATTATGTTTATAGCGCGCTGTATGGAACAGTAAAACAATAAACTTCTATACAAATGGTGTGAACAAACCACCATAATGGTTGTAGTTTTTTTGTTTTCTTTTTAAAATAAAAAAACGTTTAATTTTGTTATATATTGCCAACAATTTTCATTGCAGTTAATATTCATATATATATATATATATATATATATATATATATATATATATATATATATATATATATATATATATATATATATATATATATATATATATATATATATATATATATATATATATATATATATATATATATATATATATAGATACATACATACATACATACATACATACATACATACATACATACATACATACATACATACATACATACATACATACATACATACATACATACATATATGACAATATTTCATAATCAGTAGTTTTTATAGCTTTTATGTTTAGTAAATATCTTTATTTAAGCATGTGTTTATATTTAATAATACACTTCTTGCTGTATTGTATTATAATCAGCAAAAGATTTATAATTTATAAAAGTAATATTATAGTTATATTATATTTTTATTAAATTATAGTTAATAATTTTATTTTTAATTATAATATTAAAAATATTAATCTGCAATTTCTACAATTTGTATTAAGTGCATTTATTTAACTGTAACTAAATAAGAAATAAAATATTTTATTTTAAAATATAACTGAATCTTATTTTCAAATAGATAATAAATAAAATGGGAAAGGTTGCTTAGTCTCTTAGAAGTAGAACTTGCTCCACAATTTCTTGGTTTGCAGGACTACCAAATGATCTTACTGTTAGCGACTTTCCCATATTTAAAAAAATTATACAGTTCTGCTACTAACTCAATGAACAATTCACTGCCAAAAAAATAGCTGATCAACAAATTGTTTCTCAAATAAGCATTAAACCTGTTGAGCTATGGAGAAAAGTGAACTCTAAACTCCCCTTGATCCAAGAGAGAAGCACAGAAAAAACTTGATGGAAAAAAATATGGAAAAAACTTGAGTTACTTTTTAAAAAACTTTTGTGTGCTGAACATAAAAAACCAAAAGTAACAAATCCAGCATTGTTTATTTGGAGAAGAATTTTGATTCATTGTTTGTCACAATTGCAAGTTCACAAGTAGTTCACAATTGCAAGCAGACAATGAATTTTGATTCATTGTCTGCTTGCAATTGTGAACTACCTGTTACTAATTGTGATGACAGGTATTATAAGAACTTCTTCATGGAGTTTTAAATTTAAGTAATATTTTTATTAACTTACTTTAAATTTTTTGCATATTTATACTAAAATGTAAATAATATTTAACAACTTAATTAAATCATTTCTGCAGACTGGATGTGACATTAAAGATTGTTTAAAAAAGCATATATTATGCAATTGTGATAAAGAAAAAAAGGTATTAAGCTATTAATTTTAAGAATATTAAAATTGATTTTTTAAGGACATTTATTGCAGCAAAAAATATTATATTAGTAATGTTTACTATTTTTTTTATTCATGTACCAGTGAATGAAAGGCAGAACCTAAGAGACCAATTAGCTAAAAAGGGTGAAAATGCTTATTTTAGATTGGCAAAATTGATCAAAAAGAACTAATCAAATTAAAGAATAAACAAGTAATTGAAACTGTATAAACAAGAGTCATGTGTGGAAAGTCTTGAAGAATCGAGTTTAATGGTAAATAGGCATATGTATATTTTTTATTAGTGATTCGTAAGTACAATTATGTATTTAGAAAGAAGTGTTGCAAATTGGTACTCAAATTGGTTTAATCTATTGGGCGAGTGCAACTGATATCTGATATATATATATATATATATATATATATATATATATATATATATATATATATATACACTTAAAATTATTACACATATAATTATTACTGAAGTTTCCAAAGCAAATGCAACTAAAGAAGTTCTATATGAGTTTAACAGCACCAAAACTCTTGAAGCTGTGGTTCTTGACAATCCAAGTTCAAATACTGGTACAGATAGTGGTCCCGTTGTTAAGCTAGAAAAAATTATTAATAGAAAAGTACATTTAGTTGGATGTCAACCACACCAAAATGAATTATCATTAAGACAAGTAATTATTCTACTTGACGGAGACATAAATGATCCAAAGAAATATAAAGGTTCAGTTTGTTTATCAGTTTTAGAAAATTCCATACATAAACTTCCTTTTATAGTTTTTTCTACAATAATGTCCGAAATTCAGTCATTTGTGGATGAGTGTGTTGTTTGTGATTTAAGTAATGATCAAAGAAAGTTATATGAATACACCATTGGTATATCTACAGGTATAGTTTCAAAACTTCTATTTTTTAATATTTAAAATATGCAATCACAAAACCTCAACCTGCAAACATTGCAAGTTGGTTGACACTTGCATTATGGATTATATATAAAAATATTATAATCCATTGGCAAAGTTGGTTATGATAACAAAGTATATAGTCTAAGTATATTCTCCAATTTGGTCTGCTATAAAATGATCAGGTCATTATAAAGATTCAGCAAAAATTCTATTTAAAGTGATTGAGTTGACTAAATTGCAAGATAAAAAGATACAAAAAATCGTTTTAAAAAACATAGCTGGAAATTCATTTTGCTGTTTAAAGGAGAATTTTCTCTATTGCATATTAATGGATAATGAGAAAGTAAATGGCAACTAAGCCATTGATCGAATACTCATTATTAGGAAGCTAAATGAGGAAAATAAAGAATTTGTTCCTAAACTTAAACCCAAAACAATAATGAAAATTGATTTTGATTGTAACTGCTTGATTGATTGAAGAGTGTCGAAAAATGAACTTTGGAATAGTGTTGAATATATTAAAAAGGCCTTATGTTCAAATATGTCAAATTGAAGTGAAACCTCCTACTACAATTTATTTTTTATCTGTTGAACTAATGAACGCAAAAGAATCTGGAGAGATTTCATCGCTTACATTTTTTCCAAACAACTCTCATTCAGTTGAACATGCAGTTAAGTCAGTAGCCGAAGCATCAAAACTGGTCTCAAAAAAAACTTTATTCTTACTAAAAATCAGAGTAGGAAAGAAAATCATAGAAATGTTACCATAGAAACCAAAAGCAATTATTTTGTTCCAAGCATTTATAAAAAAACTCTTAAATGTAACTTTTCTATTAATTTTAATTAGAACAATTTATTTATTTGAACTTTTATTTATGTAAATTTATAAAGTTAAATTTATATTAGTTTTCCAAGGTTTAGGTATTAGAAAATGAACTTGTTTTTTTTTAAAGGAAAATAAAAGTGTTAGAAAATAAAATTATTTTTAAGCCTCGCTTTCTTGTTTTGGGGATTTGGTTTTTGAGGTGGTCTAGGGAATGTTTCGGAAAGATGACACGAATCTTAAATAGACTTTTTATGAAAAAGTTCTTTAAAATTAAACATTTTTTTAATATATTGATCATAGCAGTGGGTAGGATTCCCCACGCAACTTCACTAACTCCACACTGAAAGAGGGGGCAGTCTTTATCTCGCTGTTCTTTTATTAATCTTTTTTAGTAATACTATAAAGAGAAAGTTTCTTCAGATATTTATGAGTGGGGGTTCCTGGGGGCATGGAGAGCCATTACGTTGCCTAGGTAAAACCCTGATTGGCACCGGTAATATAATTTTTCTATATCAGTGAAGGACTTTATTTTTTTATGTAACATTTCTTTGGTACCCCTTGGACATTTGCTGCTTGGGACAAACTGTCATTCCACTAGTCATGCCAATGATATTGATCATTATTACTATTGTTCAACTTCTGTTTTGCTTTTATTAAATTATTGACTTAGATTACTCCCATACCAATTTTTGTTTTCAAAAAGTTTTGCTCAATGGAATTGCTCTAATATATATATGGCTAGTTCCATTGTTCAGTAAAAGTTTTTCTATAAATTAGAATTTATTAATTTTTACTCTCAAATAATCTTAAATTAAATTTTTTGTAATAGATCATGTGCAATTTTATTGTCTCAACAATGACACAAGACAAAATAAGTTTTTTCTGTAAGCATAGTTTTTTCTACTTCTTACTACTTAGATTAATTTCTTGTAATTTAATCTTTTAGCAATTAGCAAATTATAATAAAAATCTGACAACAACAAAGTTTTCATACCGTATTATTTTATTGAGAAAAACTAACAGTTCAGTGACGCAACATTCAGTGACGCCACACAAAAATGCAGTTAAAATTAAGTTTTAAAGTTTAGTTATTTTATAATATTTTTTTAATTTTAATCAGGTAAAAGTTAGAACATTGTTATCATTATTAACATGAATATAAGCGATTTTAAATATAAGATAGATTTGTAGAGGTAGATAATGGTATCAGTTGTCAGGGTTGTGGCTTTAAGGCAACATGGAAATATTGGACGAAAGTCAAAGTTATTAAAAGTAGTCTAATTTGTTGTTAAAAGGATCATTTTTTACCTTCTTCATATATATATGTATATATATATATATATATATATATATATATATATATATATAGTGAATTTTATTTATAGTAAATTTTATAATACAAATTAAAGTGTTATTTTTGAATTTAATTTTTTTCAGGAGGGAGAGGTAATTGGAATTAATTGTTTCACAGTACAACAAGCTGCAGGTATCTCTTTTGCAATTCCAGCAAACGTGGTAAAAGAGTTTCTTAAAGAAGCATTGAACAAAGACTCCTCGAATACAATGAAAAAAAAGTTTTACATTGGTATTGAGCTTATAGTATAGAAAATATTTTCTTATATTTGACAAGAATTTTTGGGTGACAGGAAGTGTGTCAAAAAATGAACTTTGGAATAGTGTTGAATATATTAAAAAGGCCTTATGTTGCTAATAAAAAAATAGGTATAGTATCGCTAAAAAGTTCAATGAATAGTGTCGAAAACAAAAAAAAAATTGTGTCACAAATTAATTTAATGAATACTGTAGAAAATAAAAAAGAGGGAACAGTGTCGCAAATAGTAAAATTGGATTATTGTTAAAAATAAAAAAAGGAATAGTGTTACAAATAGTATAACCAAATAGTATTATATATATATATATATATATATATATATATAATATATATATATATATATATATATATATATATATATATAATAATATGGTCATATATAAACAGGTCAGGTCAGGTCAGGTTTTCCTGCAGGTCAGGTCAGGTCAGGTCAGGTCAGGTTTTCCTGCTACTGGTAACACGTAACCCAGTACAACCTGCTCCATGTCCTGCTGCCTTGTAGGATACGCTTTTTTAGGCAAAGGCTAGGAGAAGTTAACTCCGAATTAAAACACCCCCTGCCTTGGGGCTCTTGGTTGAGTAAAGGCTAGAGATGGTGTCTCGATAAAAATACTCATCTTGGGCAGATGTTACATGCATCCAGCTGCTGTCTTGTAGAAGGCCTCCTAGGCAAAGACTTAAGGGGTAAACAGATTCTATCTGTTGACCAGCCTCGCACCCCTTCCTCATCTATTAGGCTGGCGCAGATGTATTTTTAATACATTGTTTCCAGTTTAGGATGTTGAACACTGGATCTTCTTGACTCAATGCGTGGGTATTGCTTGTGTCTCTATTTTTATGACTGGGCAACTCATTCTATTATCTCCTTATGAGGGTACAGCTCTAAAACTCAGTTTTATGGTTCTGAGGCCGGCTGGTAGTCAGGTTTCCCGAACTCTGTGGTAGCTCTCAGAGAGGCTGATTCCATCAACAGCCGAAAAATATCAGAGTACTAACAGTGCCATGTTGCGCATGGATGGTGTCCCTGTTTGTACTTTTGGTGTGCATTGCAGAGGCCACATTTGGAGCCCTTTGTTACGGCTTAGGGTTTATTAATAGTAATGAGGCTATTGCTTAGTTGTTAAATAGTGTACTGAGTACTATCTATACTTGAGTCAAGTTCTTTATAAATTTAAAATGACTAAAGTACCTAAAACTAAAAAACACAAAAAACCATCGTCATCACCAAGTTCTCTAAACCTATCATTTACTAATATTCGTGGTCTTCGAAGTAACTTTTCTTCTGTTGAGTCTTATCTCTTGCAAAGTTCACCAGACCTACTTGCTCTTTGTGAGACTAATTTGAGTTCGGCTGTCCCATCTTGTGATCTTAGTGTTGATGGTTATCTTCCTTTAATTCGTAAAGACTCCAATAATCACATGCTTGGTCTGGGCATCTACATTCGTAAGAACTCACCCATTAGTCGTGAAACTAGGTTTGAATCTACAGACTATTCATTTATGTGCTTTCGTTTAGCACAACTCCACTCTATCGCCTTTCTCTTTGTTCTATATCGCTCTCCTTCATCCCAAGATTGCACTATTCTTGATGTTATTTCTGATCAAATTGACCAAGCCCTCTCTCTTTATCCATCGGGCAATATCGTCGTTGTTGGTGACTTTAATGCCCACCACACCGATTGGCTTGGCTCTAGTGTCAGTGACTCTGCTGGCGTTAAGGCCCTCAACTTTTGCCTTTCTCAATCTCTAACTCAAATAGTCAACTTTCCAACTCGTTTTCCAGACAACCCTAATCATTTACCTTCTCTACTTGACTTATGTCTTGTTTTGGATCCTAGTCAGTGCTCAATTTCTCCACATTCACCCTTAGGTACTTCTGATCACGGTTTGATCTCTCTAAAACTATTATCAAATTCTTCTACTTCATCAGAATACCCCTATCATCGTACCACATACAACTACCTTAAAGCTGACTGGGACTCTTTCCGTGATTTTCTTCGTGATGGCCCTTGGGTAGAAATCTTTCGTCTTCCTGCTGACAAATGTGCTTCTTACATAACTTCGTGGGTTCAGGCTGGCATGGAATCTTTTATTCCCTCTCGACGATTCCAGGTCAAGCCTCACTCTTCTCCTTGGTTTTCCTCACATTGCGCTGCAGCAATTTCTAATCGAAACTGTTACTTCCATATCTATCAGCAAAACAATTCTCCAGAAAACAGACATCTGTTCACTATCGCCAGAAACCATTGTAAAAAGGTTTTGTCTGACGCCAAAGCTCGCTATTCCCAGGTCATTAAATCTCGTATCTCATCACAAAAATTAGGCTCTCGAGACTTCTGGAGAATCTTTAACAGTATCAATAATAAGGGCAAATCTGTTATTCCTTCTCTCTTGTATGGTTCAGACTTTGTCACCTCACCTAAAGACAAAGCTGAATTGTTTGCTAAGAACTTTTCATCAATATCATCTCTTGATTCCACTAGTTGCGTTTTACCTGACATAGCCGTCAAACAGGTTGATCCCTTGCTTGACATTCGCATCACTTCAGCTTCTGTATCTAAAGTAATTTCTTGCTTAGACTCTTCAACAGCTTGTGGTCCTGACAACATTCCTGTTGTAGTCTTGCAGAGGTGTTCTCCTGAGCTTTCATCGATACTCTCTAAACTATTTAACAAGTGCTTATCAGAATCTTGTTTTCCATCATGCTGGAAAGCAGCATCTGTTATCCCTATTTTCAAAAATTCCGGAGAGCGATCTGATTCATCTAACTACCGTCCCATTAGTCTTCTTCCTGTCATAAGCAAGGTTTTTGAATCTTTAATCAACAAACACTTAATCTCTCATCTTGAATCAAATAACTTACTTTCTGATCATCAATATGGATTTCGGTCTTCTCGTTCTACAGCTGATGTGCTAACAGTAATAACCGATAGGTTTTACCGTGCATTAGATAGAGGTGGAGAGGTTAAGGCTATCGCACTTGACATTTCTAAAGCTTTTGATAAAGTTTGGCATGCTGGTCTTCTCCATAAGCTTTCTTCTTATGGTGTAGCTGGTAACGTCTTTAAGATTATTGAGTCCTTTCTTTCCAATCGTAGTATAAAAGTTGTCCTCGATGGACAACACTCTTCTTCACATCCTGTAACTTCAGGGGTTCCTTAAGGTTCAATCCTTGGCCCTATACTCTTTTTAATTTACATTAACGATCTTCCAGATATTCTCACATCTAAGGTGGCATTATTCGCTGACGACACTACCATTTACTCTTGTCATGATAGAAGCCTACACTCTCTGATTGCTTGGAGGGGGTATCTGAGCTTGAAAAGGGTCTCACTTCTGCTACAGCATGGGGCTCACAGTGGCTGGTGAACTTTAATTCAGATAAAACTCAATTTTATTCGGCCAATCGTTATCGTAATAATTTAGATCTTCCTATATTTATGAATGGTAATGTACTAGATGAGTCATCTACCATTCATCTTCTAGGATTAACTCTTACTTCTGATCTTTCTTTTAAACCGTATATCAAATCCATTGCAAAATTAGCATCTGCTAAGGTTGCATCTCTTTATCGAGCTCGACACTTTCTTCAATCCGTCCCTGTATGGAATACTGTTGCCACATCTGGGGCGGATCTTCTAATGATGCTCTTTCTCTTTTAGACAAGGTGCAAAAACGAATTGTAAACATAGTTGGACCTGCTCTGGCAGCCAATCTCCAACCTTTGTCACATCGTCGTAATGTTGCTTCTCTTTCTCTTTTCTACAAATACTATAATAGGCACTGCTCTAAAGAGCTAGCGTCCCTTGTGCCATCTACTAAAATTCATTCTCGTGTTACTCGCCATTCAATTAAGTCTCATCCTTTTTCTGTGACTGTTCCTAAGTGCTTCAAAAACTCTTATTCTTCTAGTTTTTTTCCTCGAACATCAGTTCTTTGGAATTCGCTTCCTTCATCTTGCTTTCCTGATTCATATAATTTGCAATCTTTTAAGTCATCAGTCAATCGTTATCTTGCTCTACAGATTTAGTCTTTTCTCTTCCAGTAACTTCCAACTCTTATAGTGGTTGCTTGCAGCCTTGTTGGAAGTGAAGATGTTAAAAAAAAAAAAATATATATATATATATATATATAGTATCGCAAATATTAAAAACCTAATAGTGTCGCTAATAGTAAAAAAAGAATATTTTTGAAAATAATAAAGTCGGAAGAGTGTCACAAAAGTTAAATATGTAAATTTTTTGACACTATTCATTAAAATCCTATGCAACATTTTTCCTTTTTCTATTTTTGACACTTTTCATTAAATTCATTTCCGACACTTTTTTTTTAATTTTTGTCATAATTCATGTATTCTTTTGCGACACTTATCCTTTTTGTTATTCGACAATCAATAATGCAACAATTTGCAGCCTAATTCTTTTTTTATATTTTCGGCAATCAAATTTTGTGACACTATTCTACCACACCAGATTTTTTTGTATTTTTAAAAGTCATATAGAATTATTAATTTTTTATAATTATTTTAATATAAGTATAAGTTAAGATCTTATTATAAGATGTACAAATATAAAATCTGTACATAAAGTGCTTTGATACTATGCATAAGAATATAAATACAAAATGAAATAAATTTTTTCATCTTGGTTATCTTTATATGCTCTATGACAGGCTCTTTTTAATGATTTAAAAGTTTAAAATTTTGCTAAAACTTAAAAAAAAATTGCTCTGCAAAATATTAGAATAGAAAAATATATATACAAGACAAAAAAACTTGAAATTTACAAGAAAAAGGTAAAGTAGAACTTTAGATAATAAAAAATAACATCTTTAAAAAAATGTGGATATAAAAATAAAAATAAATAAATCAAATGATTAAAAACTCCACTACTTTTAAAATGGAACTATTGTAGAAAATAAAAAAAAAGTTATTTAATATTTTAATTAACATATTTTGTATTAGTATTTTTTTA